TAGACTGATCATTTCTTTGTCAGTGGGCAAAGGTACAAAATCAGCAGGGGATCAAATACTTTTTCCCTCACTGTATACACGGTACGAGCACAATGATACATACAGATAAGCCATGTACTGGTAGGAACCCCCTGGTTACACCAGCCCACAGGGAATTATTGTGTCCGTCCGTCCTGCATCCAAAAATGGGAGGGGTGGGGCTGGGTGGAGAGGGGAGGGTGGGGAGAGGCTGGGAGGGTGGGGAGGGGCTGGGTGGGGAGGGAGGGGCTGGGTGGAGAGGAGAGGGTGGGGAGAGGCTGGGTGGGGAGGGGTGGGGCTGGGTGGGGAGGGGAGGGTGGCGAGGGGGCCACCGATGCTATCCATGGCCGTGGTGCAGTGATCTCTGTGCCACCGCCGCTCCTCAAAAAGGATGGAGGGCGGTTATCTCTGCGTCCGCTCCAGGGGTGCGCGTTGCATTTGCTGACCACGCGCCCAAAAAGACCCGCACGGTCACGTCGTGCGGGCACGCCAATGGCAGGCAGCCTCAACTGGTTGGCTAATTTACATTGCGTCAAATTTAATCAAGTGAGTGGGCTGCACGGGGCCTCATAATTGATTGAGTAGTCTGTCGAAAAGAAAAAAGCTGACCGAATGGAATATAAAAAGAAATTGGTTATTTTTTTATATACGCATATATACGTATGTTGTATTTTTGCATTCTGTTTGCCGTGTTTCCGTGCCAACTTGATTAAGTGAGGTTAGAAAAGCTCATTTAGTTACACATGTTAAATGTACACCCAACAATGTATGAATTATCACAATAATTGAACGTTGTTTTTAATAATGCAGAATTGGAAATGGCAAACGGAAGTTTTTTTTCCCGAATGAAAAAGTTAATACAAGTCAGCATTTAAGCTTTGATATATTTTGATATTAAAGACCTCATGACACAATTCCCTAAAGTAAAACATTGAGTCAGCCAAACGCCCTAAATTATACATTTGTAATTGATTTTTTTTTTTTTTTACAAATGTTCTTGTACAACAACAGAATTACAGGCAACTGATATGCATTGAGAATTATTTGTTATTATTCCAAATGTTTCTTTAAATGATTAAATAAAAGCAATGAATACATTTGTGATGGGGCACGCCTGTCAATTCAGCGTTGTGGAGGTGAGGGTTGGTGGATTTCATACAAAATTGTGAAACTCCCTTCCCGCGAGGGTCGAGGAGATGCCATACCCTGGTTCGCCAGGAGAAGACAGTACAGAAAATGTGGACTCCACCTGTTCCAACTCTACGGCTTAGAGTGTCACCCCCACGCGGCCACGTGGGGTTTGATCAGGCTGCTCAAGTTTCCACCCACGTGTAAACGCTCATCAATTGGCTGATAACACCTTCACAAACAGAGGACCGCAGAGATCGGGTGGGAATTTGGCACTGGCTCACTGTGCAGCTGCCCATTTGTCCGTGGTTCCTCACAACTCCCGAGGCGTTCTCTCTCTTCGCGAGAGAGAAAACTGTGCGGCGGTGCCGCACTACAAATTTAAACGAGGATTAATTGTTACTTGACATTTTTAACCGTGATATTATAATACCCGTGCAATTTTCTTAAAATGTTCAGTTCGAGTGAAATTGCACCCATCTGGGACGTGTGTTGCTGTGAAGGAAGTCGAGAGGAGTTATCATGTGAATAAACTTTCCCTGGCCACATTGATATGGAATTTCCGCCCGTGGAAGAGGCGACGTTGGACAAGCGTACTGCCATATGTGGCACTAACCTAACGTTGGTGCAGCGTAATTAATTTTTCCTTTAATAATTTGTTGTATATTTGTACATTTAAATAGCATGCGCATTTTTTTATGCGTGACCGTGGACTTCATATACTGTATATTCTTGGTTCTTTCGGTAAAGTCACGTAGAAGGGAAACAATAAAGTAATAAAAATAGATTTTTACACTTTTATTTCTTTTATTGTTTCCCTTCTACGTGACTTTACCGAAAGAACCACGAATAAGAATCCCTGCAGTCACGAAAGCTTTAAATCAAAATTCATATACTGTACTTTAAATGTGTTGCTATTTCACAACACAATATTTCACTTGTGTTGGTGCACATGCTTAATGTAATTGGGTGCTGCTTTCACAACCCACATTACAAATGTGAAGGGAAAAAAGGCCCTTACATGGGACCATGTTCCACTTTTAAAATAAGCAATCTATTAACCAGGCTCTCACCTGTGTAAGTGAAGAAAATCTGAACAAATATATATCAAAAATTAACAATCGGGCAGTTTTCATACATTATTAATTAACTATTAGCACTTACAACCCGTTCAGATGGCACTTCGAGTATAGCAGAGAGCTTAATGCACGATCGGAAGGTTGGGGAGTTCAACTCATGTTGAGGAATCAACTCGATTCATCATCCACAAGGGTATATAAATTGGATACAATAGTGGTCATCCTATGGAAAGACTGTATGGTCGTCCACCGTATCTCTAAACTAAACGATTCTTGTTTTAGCAGGCAAGGCCCACTGAGCTATATAGGTCTTTTTCAGAACCAACTTGGCCGCAAATGATAGCTCACCAAAGTGGCTTATCACGTGGAAAAACTGACAGCAGCCAAATATTCTAAACGCATGTTCTTAAATGTGGAGGGAAAAACCGGAGCACTTGGAGAAAATTCCACACGGCCACGGGGAGAGAGACACGCAAACTCCAAACATACAGGCATCGCCAGGGTCGGGATGGAACCCACGATCTCCTGCATACCAGGCGAAGGGGTTAACATCTAGCCACCATGGCACCCAAAAAGTCGCCCTGCTGTACAGCTCCCGGTAGAACTCTCCACAGTGTGACTCACAACCCCCCCCCCCGCCTCATCTCTACACCGGGGAGCAGGACCATGGTCACTGCCGGGCGTCGTTTCTCTGTGGCAGCCCCCACCGCCTCGAACGCGTCCATCACTTTCCCACTGCTGCGCATTCGCAACAGCACCCATTGAGTACCGACTTCTAATAGATGCTGAAAGGCCCCAACTCCTTCCACCCGGCTTTCGAGCCACACTGAGCTCGGCTCCGCGCCTCAAGAGCCATGGTCATTTATGTCCGTGAAATATTGTACGCATTGCAAATTGCGTTATTATAATCATCAGAGGAATTAGGAATTTCGGTTAAACCAGCACCACAGCCTCACGTGTTGTGTATGGAGGGAATTACTATTTTCACAACGTACTCCCGTGTTGTTATTTTTTATTCCCCAATTAGTTTAATTGCAGGTCTGCCTTGCAAGACAATGCCAAGTCTCTAATGGGATGTCACTTTGGATCATTAATACAGTGACTGAATGATTGTTAAGGTGATCTCACATTACAGATGTTAGATTTTAAAAAAACATCAACCATTTTTTAACGTGAGCACCAACACAGCCTGGGTTCTTGCAACACTAAAAAAGCAGAGTGCAGGTAACAAATGCTAAATACTGCGAAACGTGCCCACAATCAATCACAATGATTTACCGACACTTGACGACAAGGTGGCCATTAACTTTTTTTAAGTGCCACCGTCAAAACGAGACTGTGTCAAAACGCGCGACGTCGCTCACAAATCACGCGGTACGGAGTGCACATTGGCCCAGGCACGGGCTGAGAAGTCACCTTTACCTACCCTGGGGGACATCGGAGCTGCCAGTTTAACCATTTTGTGCTTTGTAAAAGTGGTGGTGGCACAGAAAATGCGTTGCTTCAATTGCAGTTGAGGGGCAATGTTAACTTCACAAGCCTTTAAATAAAGTGTCAGTCTTACATCTTTTGATATTTATCCAACGACTTTTACAAGAAGGTCCCACTACATTGGGATTTTATATTATTATTATGTTTTCACAAAATTAGTGTTTATTCAAGTAGGAGGAAACCGAAAAACACGGAGGGAACTCACACGCGCATGAGGCGGAAACACTATCCCCAAACAGATGGAAACAGATGGCGATTAGTCCACTTTCTAGACCGCCTTCTCCTGGCGAGCCAGGGTATGTCTCCTCCTCGGCACCCATGGGAAGGGAGCTTCACCACATTTGTGCGGTGATCCACCAATCCTTGCTACCTCTGCAGCGCTGGGTTACATGCCACGTGCATCATAGCCACCACCGCCTGGTTTAAAACCCAAGAGACATTTGTACAGCGGGGTTATCCAATTAATTTAAGGCACCAATTATTTTATCGATCACCTGTTCAGATTACTAAAAGCATCTAACTTCTAAAGCGATATACTCATCTGTTGTACGGTATTCGGGGAACCCCGGCACTTGGCCACCTTGGCCATCCACTTGATCTACTTGTGCTCCCTCTCACGGTTTTCGCATTTAATTAACTTTAATTCTACATATAAACTCAACAATCTTTTCAAGACAATCATACAATCTTTCCAGGTTTTATATTCTAACAGGGAAGGCGGTGTTATCTTCAAAGACTTCATGATTTCACATCCAGTGAACCGCGGCCTGCTCCCTGTGCTGCGCGGTGATGGCGAGCAACTCAGGAGCAGTTGATTTTTTTACGTGCTATTAAAGTGGAAATATACAATCATAACTAAATGTATACGGTGTTCATTGCACGCACATGTAATTAAAACGGTAGTCTATGTTCAAGATGTAAGCATTCAAGTCAAACAAAAAATTATAAATCCGACTCACGCCGTCTGGCTTGTTACAATATAAGTGCGACATGCTGGTAGAAGTATGTGGACACATGACAGGTTTGGTGGGGGGGTACACGACAAGCAAAATCGGGGGAAACACTGAGCTAAGGGCTACCAAACAACTTGTGATCACTGCCCAATGTAATATTTAAGCAGGCAGATACATTGTCACCCAGCCAAAATTAACCTAAGATCCCAGTTGAACTGGTCCGGTGGTATGACCAGGTTTAGATGCCCATAGACTGGAGTAACCGGTGCTTTTGTGATGGTTTGTGACAGACGCAGCAGCCGGAACAGTGGGAAGAGTGCAGGCACCTTACCATGGTGCAGAGATTCGGCAGTGCCAGGGCCAGGTGTGCCATCTTAGGAACGACCGCATGCAGCAGCTCAGCTGCCATCCTTTCCTGGTGAGTGACAGCAGAAACAGAGAGAGTGGAGGGTTCAAGATCCGAAAACATTGGATGGGTGTGTGGTTTGGTCTCCGACCGGTTGTGTGGTTGTGGCCGTATGTGTGTGTGTGTGTGGGGAGCGTTAGTGTAGTGGTTAGCGCACTTCACTACGCATCTGGCAACCGGAGTTCGATTCCCACTCACGGCCAACACCAGTGACGATTATCTGAACCAGTTCTGGGCCTCCGCGAGGTCGACTTAGCCTCAAACAAATTCCTGGTGTGGTGTGTAAACATCAGCACAGGGAAGACAAAGGTGGCAGAACACCGTGTAGGCCACCCATCCCCTTGTGTGCCATGCTGGCCTTCATTAGGTGCTTGCTAACATCACTTGGCCCAACAGTCTGTTAAAGGCTATACAGGGGACATTTCTCTTTATGTTTGTGGCGATCCGGACGAGTGAACCTACAGGGTGACATGGTAAAAAAATTGGGATATTATAAACCAACATCAAAAAGTGCAAGGTAAGTGTACGAGCTTACTAAGGATCTAGCTTCAAAATGAACAAATCATAGTGTAGGGGAGATGACAAGGGTTACGTATTGGATTGTAAAGATACGACATAATACAAAATGCATTCTCTTTGGTTCTATTCGGTAAAGTCACGTAGGTAAAAAATAAAACATCAAAAATCACGACGTTTCGGCCACAACACAAGTAGCCTTCTTCAGGTGAAGGAACAGAACTGTCGGGACGACAGAGCTTCAATGAACGCTGCTAAGATTCGTGACGCCTTTTTAAGCTGGGTGAGAGACGTGAGGCACCTTGACAAAGGAGTTTACATATCAAACAGGAGAATTTAGCATTGAAATAGCCGAGGGATTGCAGTAACGAAAGCTTCAAATCTAGAAAACAAAATGCATTCTTGAAAGGCAAGCATTAGTCATCATCAAGAGCCATGGTCAATCCACTGCTGGATGAAGGCCGCCCCAAGATGCTGCCATCTCTCAAAACCCTGTGATGTCACAATCCACCCAGCATCCACACACACGAGCTGATTTCATCGTTCCATCTCCCCAGCGAATGTCCTTTCGCAGGCGTTCATTCCTTGCCTGCCACTCCTTTCTTGACCATACTATAGTGAGAAATAAATAGCACTAGGCCAGTAGTGGAAGTTCCACAGTCTTATGACAGAGACCAGCCCCTTCCTCAGAAAAGTTACTATTCACTTCCTACGGAGGTATCTATTTTACCGACCATGGAGGGACAATGGATTGAGTCAATTCCCAATGCAGATAGGCAGATTAAGGCAGAAGATAGAAAAAGGGAGACAGACATATACAGGCAGAGTCATTAGCTAGGCACCGATAAACTGACAGACGTACATTGTATACACAGAGTGCCAAAGACAAAGTGAGACAAATATAAAGATATATAGACAAAGAGAAAGACAGATTGATAGAGGGATAAACAGATAAATTGGCAGATAAGCAGACAGACAGAGAGTTAGACAGACACGTAGATAGATAAAGAGTGCGAGTATGTGGCAGGGCAGAGGAGGGGATGGGGCACAGAGGAAGGCAATTTCGAGAGTGGCGTGAGAGCCCAGGACAAACACATCGATTTTACCATCATCCCATTACGGCTCCATTTAATTTCATTTGCTTCCCGCGCGCTGCGTGGAGCAGCCCCTGGCGTCTGCCACCAACCCCCCCCCCCCCTTCCTCCACTCTGCTCCTATAATGTCCGTGTGTCCCTGAGTGCGTGTGTGTGGTCGTGCTCACGAATGCGCGCGTTACGTGTAACACATTGGGTGGAGTGGTGGCACAGCGATTTGCGCGCCGTGCTACGATCACCATTGATCGATCCAATCAATGGTGAAGATCAGTGGCGAATATTTTAACTGGTCTCTGGGGCCTCCACTAGGTCGACTCAGCCTGAGATGAGTACCGGGTGCAGCATGTCAACATCCGAGCTGGGGAGACAAATGTGATCGGGTGCAATTTTAGTCACACCGTAGCGCACGAGGGGGATGTGATGCCCGTTGATAATACGAGTCTGTGTTACAAGAGCTACCAAACGCAAGAGTAGGTAGAGAACAAAAACATCTGTAAACAGTAGGAAAATATAATAAACATGGAAGACGCAATAAATAACCTCTTAAGGTGGATATTATTTCAGAAAAAAACATTTACATTCGAAAATACTCGCATGAAATCAATAAAAAATTTGTAAAAACAAGATGAAAAATAGGCTAGGATAAAGGAAATGATTAAATACATTTACATTTAGACTGAGCAAAGAATGAATTCAGTTTATAGTACAAAACCGATTGATTGGAAATAATTGTGATGCGTAATATAATTATTTGGGGCTCTGAGTCAATCCACTGCTGGACGAAGGCCTGCCCATGCCGGGAGATTTAACTCAGTCAGTGTGGGGCTGGATCAAGGACTGGTTCAGATATCATTCGCCGCTGATGCTAGCCGTTGCTGGGAATTGAACTCAGGTTGGCGGCTTGATGGCGCGGTATGGCCAACAACACTACCACCACCGCTACACCCATCCCGAAAAGAATGAAAACTTTATTCATTACAAGTAAGTGTATGCAGGGGATTAGTGCAAAAGTGGCAAGGCTAGTGGAGGGCTTTTGTCCTATCTCTCTCTCACCCTGCACCCCCGTCCTCTCACCCTCCCCCTCTCTCCCATAAAACTCCCGCCCCCTCCAACATTGCGCAGGACTGATTGCTAAAGCACTTTGCTATGCATCGATCGCCGAATCAGGAGCAGTTCTTTGTGGCCGCAGGAGCCACAGCAAGACGAATAAATAATACCGACCGGAATGACAGGCCGGACGGCAAGACATTAAAACATTGGTACCGACGCTGAGGTTGTGGTGGGGGTGAAGGGCGGCACAGAGTGGTTGGGAACAACAGCATCTGCAGTAACGTGTAATATATAAATAAAGAACGACTCCTATTGAAATGCCAGTGTAGGATGCAAAGCAGCAGAAGGAGGCAATCGGGAAAATACAACGCAGGGAGGTTGGGTCGTCCGATTATGTGACTGCCAATCGTCACCAGTGGTGGACAGAGTATGTATGAGAAATGCACAATTTAATCTATTAATGTCAAATGCTCCCAGTACAGGCATAACATTGGGCATATAAATACTTTCTATTTGTTTGCGCGTGTATAATTTAAGTAAATATATTTTACAGATTGACACCACTGCGGATTCTATAGCTTCGACAAGGAAAACAAGTTTGAGAATTGAATCCTGATCCTGAATCGTTAACATTTTATTGCCCATACAACACCATGCTGGTCAATGCAGGTTAGTGAAGAGGATCGGGCCCACCGGGGATCCTGACTGGACAGGTTCAGATTCCGTTCGCCACGGATGTTAGCCGTGGCCGGGAATCAAACTCAAGCCAGAACGCAGGACACGAAGCGCTGAGCCACGGCTCCCCTCCCCTTCAATCAAGACATGAAAGATTGGATTAAACTAAGTCTACCGTTCCAGCAACACGAAACTACGCTAATCCAGTCCAAAGTGTTGCAGTAGAATTGTTCCAAGCCTGCCTTGGTTTTCACTCCAATAATTGCTTAGGTTCCTCCACTCCCCACATCCTTCCTCTCCTCCACCTCACTCTCATCTTCCTCCTCCTGTCTGCTTGACTTTAAATACTGAACCACAGCCTAATGCATCAGAGCGAGCCTGTTTCTCAGTAGTGACAGTCTCAATTCAATTATATAAATTCTTCCCCCCCCCCACCCCCAGATACCATTCAGTTTGAATCGGTAGGATTTGGAAGCATCCACTCACACACACACACGTGCAGGAACACATGCACAAAAGACACAATCATACGCAAGCATGTGTCCATTACCATTCATAGTGATATGTCCTGGCAGTATGGCCATAAATGCAAACTACATTCACTCCATGTGACCATTCACTAAAGACCCACTGAGCTCCTTCCCTGTCTCTCTCTCTTTGCGGCTTATCCCCATGTTTTTCTGTGGTGGGGTGAAAAAGTAGGTATGTATCTCTCGTAGTACATCTGTTTGCGGTTATGGTTGTTAGAGCACCAGACTTTGAAAGGGTGTGCGTTCAAATCTTGGTTTGGGCCGATTCAGAGCATCATCCATTTGGGGTTGATAAAATCATAACCGCTTTATGGGAAGTCAACAGTGGCTGGTTGTACTCTGGATAGCCTGTCCTCTGTCATAAGAATATGGAAATGTCACCACTGGCGCAGGGCCACCAATGGGGATTTACAGCACTCCCATGTTCTATTCAACAGGAAGGCACCTCGACTATGACATGACTAGGCTCTAAGCCTTAAATCTAATCCCTTAACACTAACCCTGACTCATATCTCTAACACTACCACCGAACACAATACCTAAACAATTATTAAGTAACCAAACCACCAATTCTAACCTATACGACCATCCATAGCTTAACACCAACCATTACTCAAGTATAACCCATACCAATGATCGCTAAATTCAGACTCAATTCTACAGAAAGGTTATAATATTTCCCATTGCTTATCCAGGAAATCCCATGGTGTATTAAAAGTTGGATTCAGGAAGTGTCCTGGGGGGTTTGACCAATTCCATGAATGCGCGATCGGGAGGTGGGAAGAAACCAGAAGTAGCCGTAGAAAGCACACGCATGCGAGCGGCATAACATTAAAACCTCCGCGCAGATGAACAACTCAAATCCACTTGCTGCACTGACATCTCCTGGCCACCTCGCAGCTCAACAGCCTTGAGAGTTTATCCCAAATGTGTGCGATCCACCAACCCTTTCCTCCACGGGTGATGCATCTCAGTCAGCTGCATGCCACTGCAAGGATTTTTTGATCGGATACCTCCTTAACCAAACACTTGGAGACCATGGCCGACACGCTCTCCGATGCTGTGGTCGGACCCACGTGGCCAGACACGACGAGACGAATGTACCTGGACCCTGAGCCCAGTGGTGGCAGGTGGAGTGGTGGGA